GTGTAGCCTATTTTCATTGAAGACATCACTTCTGGGTTCTTGTCAAGGAAGCTGGGAACTTCTTGTGCCTCACAACTCTCCATTTTAGAAGAGGCACATTGCTAGGTGGTGTAACGAACCCACCCGAGCCCTTAGAGGCTTTTAGTTTTGAAGGAAGCTCTGTGCTATTTTCTGATGGCGTTAATGGTGGTAACAGTAGGCCGTTGGGGCCTACATCCTAGCCCATTGGTGTCCTCATGAATGGTTCACCTAATACTTTACAAAGAAGTCAAATTTTCTAGATGGTTCCCCTAAGCGGTCCCAGATCAGCTTAGATCCATCTGATTCTGCCATCACTAATCCCTCTAGGCCAACATCCTATCCTGAGAGTCATTTGCTATTTTTCTTCCTTTTCTACTGACTGTCTCCGTTTTGGGCTTCCCTCAAGTAGTCCCAAATGACTTTGGAGCCATCCAGGCTTTTCATGTTCTGCCCCTCCAGGCCTATGTCCCATTTAGAAGACTTGTTCTTACTAGACCAGCTCGTAGGCTTCCCCAAGCAATCCCATACTGTCTTAGAGTTTCCTTGAGTTACTTCACCCCTATTCCAGGCATTCTAAGGTCTCCCATCCTTTTGCTTATTATCACTTTTCTTCAGCCATCATTTGCCAGAGGTTATCTCCACCGTTTGACCATAGCAAATGGGGGAAATGGATCCTCATCTACCACTATGGATTCTTCTTTAGGGAATTTCAAAACTCCCTTATTGATCCGGTCCTGGACAACATTCTTAAATCCCCAGCACACCTTGGTGTTGTGGCTCCACGAGTGATGATACTTACAATATTCATTCCCTCTTTGTTCTTCCTTTAAAGGAATCTTATGATCCATGGGTAAGGAGATAAAGTTTTCCTTAAGGAGGAAATTAAAAATTTCCTTTGTTTTAGTAATATCAAAGGTCTATTGGACTGTGTTTGATCTTTTGGGCAATTCTTTGGCCTTCCTTACTAAAGTCGGGCATGTGTAGTTACTAACATTCTTCAATTCTGCCACCACTACGTTTAGGTCCCCAAAATAGGTCCCAGTTGTAATCTGTCGGTGATAGTCCTCTTCCTTTAGTAGTTCCTCATAACCTCACACTTTGGCTGTGAGTTCATAGAAATCTTGAAATTCCATTCCCTAGAATTTCTTTCAGAGCTCTATATCAAGTCCTGCCTGTGCCAACTTGACAAATTTAGTTTCTGGAAGCAGCACATGGCACCTACTCCTCAGATGATTGATCCTCACTAAGTACTGGTCCGCTATCTCTCCAGCTTGTTGTGTGAGCTTACAAAGTTCTGCTATGCTAACTTCTGGCTCTACTTTATAGAACTAGAAGTGGAACTTTTGCTCTATCTCCATCCAGTTGATGATTGAGTTATAAGGCAGCGACATATACCATGTGAATGCCAAGTCCGTGAGAGTATTTAGAAATAGCCTTAGCTTCAAGTTAGCAAAGTTCTCATAATTAGCAATATCGTCGCACTGGATTATGAACCTCCTAATGTGCTCCAAGGTTGACTATGTCTTGTCTCCTGATAATATTGTGAAGTTAGGGATTCTGTACCCTCAAAAGTATGGGTTGTCCCTGTCTATATACTCTGAATAAGGTTTTGAGAAGGTGGGGCGGCCGATTGGCTTCAGCCCTGGTCCATATATATCTTGAATAGTGTCCCTTAGGGCCTCCATGTTCACCAGTTGGTTCTGAGGCTCAATCAAATGTTTTGAGATCACCGTCGTGCCCCCCGAGCCACTCATGCCAGGATTCTATAGATAATACGAAGGATTAATTAAAGGATGAGTATGTGCAAATACTTAGTAGTTAGGGATGTCTTTTATAAGTGTGCGGCCCCGATGGCCAGCACCTATATTAACTCCAGCTTGCTGGCCCCCCAGCAGCCCTATACTTGAGCCTTCTTCTTGACAGGTGCCTCTCAATGATGCGGCTATATTCTTCATGCCTTCATGCAGAGCCTGCATCATTATCTGCTGTCATGCTTTCTCCCTGTATTCTAATGTTTCCAGGGATATTGTGAAGAACCTTTGGTTCTCTTCCAGCTGCTTATCCATCCGGTCTTAAATTCCTTGCAGTACTTCTGGCACAGGTCTGTTGGATATGATTAGTGGGTTTAGTTGGCCACTTCTTGACTTTGAGCCAGGGCATGATGTTCAATTGCTCTAGTATCGGGCAATAAGTGTTCTGATCCTGCGTGCGTAGAGATCCCTTCTGGTTCGTGAGAACTAGAACCTGTTTCATCAATCCTTTTATCTTTTCGTGTCCTTGCCATCTTTGTTACACAGGTCCCATCAAGCGTGCGATAAATTGTTTGTGGTTGAATAATAAATACTAAGCGTGTCAGAGACACTAAGTCTCAATGGATAACGAAAAGGGTCTCGAGTTTCCTTACAACAGTTTGCTCGGATGTAAAAAGATAAAAGGCTTTAGTAGAACAAGTGTGTAATTTGATTGAAGTGTAAAAGTTACAAATTAAAAACTAAGAACTGAAAAAGGACTAATAAATGTAAAATATACGAGTTTTGATCGAGTGTTGACTAGCTTTCTCTATTTTTCTTCTTTCTATTTATAGTGCTGAATAGTAAAAGCTTTTCTTTTGAGACTTAGCACGTTCTCCCAAAGAATCAGGAATCCTACAAAACTTATAGCATAGTCTCTCCATTTTAATAGCCAGCCCATTTCACCGAACTACTTGGGCACAAATTTCGGCATTACTTAGAATCGTATCTTCGTGCCAACGGTCTGATGTTTGAAGCTGACAGGATTTTGACATGTTTGTTTGTTGTGGACTTTATTGAGCTTCAAGGTCGGCCTCTTTTGTCTATATTGGGCCTGATGCTTCAACTACTCAGCCCAACTAGCTTCATAACCTATTTAACCTATGTTTCATATTTAGCCCAAACACACATAATCCAATTCTTCTTTTATTTAGTCTCATATTTTGACATCTAATGGCCACTCATTTTTACATTCCCTTTGAATTATAAGTGGGAAATATGTCTTTTTAATATCTCATATTGGGTTATTTTTTTCTCATTCAAATACATGATAAATGTCGATTATCATAAAATAACCTATTAAGACTTGAATAAATATCAATATATATATATATATATCATCTCTTATTTTGCACTTCTCCTTCTTAAAATATTAAATTGATGCCTGTTTGAAAAATAATTCTTATTGTGTTCAAAATAGTCCATTAAATGGAAAAAAATTTAAGCATGTATATTTGTGTGTGTGTATTAAATATAACATAATAATTTTTTTCTATTTTCTAAAAATCTTAGCTTGGAATTATGTACCAAATCAAGCCTAATAATCATTTCCTCACAAATTTAATTGCCCTTAAAACCCTCTAATAGTTATTAACTCTAATTGACTTTTAAACATTAAAGTGGGATGTTGTAGCCTTTAGCTACCAGCTATCAAAAGGAAGGTCAAGTGAATGATTTATAATTTTGATCTCCAATGGGTGGATATTACAAAGCAGATGGGTGTTCAGAGTGCCGGCTTTGTCAATCTCAAATGGCTTTCTAAAGATCGTGGGTGTGACCGAAGGCTCATTTTTTTTTTTTTTAAATCAGGGGCAATTATGTACTTTCACCATCAGAATTAATTACATATAGGACTTCGAGGACTGCAAAGCTAAATCGAATTTCTTTGGTCCTTTTTCATGAAAAAGGTTTCACAGGGGTCCCCCCTGGCTATGATATTCCCTTCAGAAAACATCAAGCAATTTCTATAATTTAGATGTTGGCAAAAAATTATATTTTAGATGGAACTAATTTGTTTTCATCTTGCAGAATATTGTGTCATTTTGTTCTCTGAGTTTTTTTTGACAAAAAAAATATTTGCTTAACTCTTCAAAATCAAGAGATGCATGAACCACAAGACTTAGAAATTTATCCGAGGTAAGTGAAAATTTGTTGGTCCAGACCACACAACATCTTTAATTAATTAGCCAATGACCACGACGATATTAATGCTTCATTCATGTTTATTAGGTAATTAATGTTATTGATCTTTTTGCAATCTTGTATCATTCTATTTCCATTGTATTTTTTCTTTAAAAAAACAAAAGCTGAGGGGTGACCATGGTTGTGGGAGTAAAGAGATAGAACGAGACCGCTGGAAGACTCCTTAGTTCATATATTACTAAAAACACATTAAACCCTTCCTGATTTCATGACACGTGTATTGATTTTGTCTTGTTGCAAAGTCCCACACTTTACCATGGATTTTACTTATACTAACCGCACACAGCACAATACATAATTATAAATTTTAAATACAAATTGTTTGGAAATGTAGAATTCTGACTTTGTTTTAAAATATTCAAATATTATACAATAAAAAAGGCTATGAGAGCATAGGCATCATACCCTAAAAAATTAGAACTAAAATAATACTTTTCCCAAAAATGTGCCGTGCATCCCCGCATGTAGTATAGAGCCACGAAATTCAACTTTATGTCATGCAGTGGCATGCTGTAGCTCATGTATCAAAATTTACTATCACATCAACAATCTGATATAAACTTCTGCCGCGTGCCATTTTCATATACATTGTTCGATTGGTGTAATTCAAGCACCCACACAAAGCTTTTAAGACAAGCTATCTAATGAGATAAGTTTAGGCACGATCTAATTGTCTGATCTTAATTTGGACACTCAAGTATAAAAAGTTATTTTTATTTGAAAAACCAACATCCGAAGTGTCCAAATTCAACACTTAATCTCATTAATTCACTTTGGGCCTTAAACCAAATCTAAAAGAACCAAATACACTTGATTAGCACAATATAACACATAAGCCACTTCACATGCATAATTAACCTCTCAAAGTCACTTTACACACTTGTGATCTTATACGAGGCATCACACATAATCACATATCCACTATCAAAATTGTTCCATATTTACACATCTGACTTGCACATGTGGGGCTAGGCCTCACCATATAGTCAGGGCTCACACACGTACACAGTATCACAAAAATCACATTTATATACCAGTGGAACACAGCAATCACATCATATTTACATACTTCTTGAATAGTACCTAGGCCTACCCACATATTCACCATTGTGATACACTTGGCCAAATACAATACAAGTTATACAAGCCAGTCATTAAAAATACTACAAACACATGTATGCATCCTAGTTGGCAACTAAAACACTCAGTATAATTATATATTCATTTCATCTTGAAGGTAGCTTTACCACTACCAAAAATGAAGCTACTCCTTCTGTGCTTCCTTTCCTAGCCTTTAAGAACTCTTTTCACCTGTATGAAAGAAGTAACAAAGTGAGACATACGTCCCAATAACTTGGATAAACCCTAAATATTAATTAGTAAGTAAAATCAACCATAAGAGATAAAGCAACACTATTTTTCAATAAAACTAGTACACACATGATGCGATGCACAATCAACCATTATGAGTATGCAACCACTATCAGAAAATACTCTATGCTCAAACAAGGACTTCCCAGCCTTCCACGAAGTAAGGACCACCAACCACTATCTCTGACAAAGGTATCACATATGGGTGGTTATGCTCTTCCTGAGTCATACTAGTGGATCAAAATCAATGCTTAGACTAACAGGACTTCCTAGCCTTACACAAAGTAGGGCCACAACCCCCTACCCTAGATCAAGGTACACTCGTGAATGCATTCCTAAGTCTCATTAGTAAATTAAAATTAATGCTCTAGACCATCAAGACTTCCTAGCCTTGTACAAAGTAGGGCCACAATCTCCTACCCTAGATAAGGGTACACTTGTGGATACAAATACACATGTGCCACCACACACACTCCAAACATCTCCACTCACGCACACATGTACCATTTTAACAAAATTGCTACTCTATCATTTTAAAAAACATGATACATGTAGTTTGTATAAAGTACATATAAATAATTTTACAAGATAATAGATAAAAGTGTTAATCCAGTTACCTTTCACCCTTATTACTAAGGGTTAATGTTTCCACTAATTTACCCCGATGGTGTAGATTCTCACGAACAATATCTCAAAAGTGCTCAATCTATACAATCATATACTCTTAATCAGTTCCCAATGCTCAATACAAAGAATCAATTTAGCTAAACCACATTATTTAGCACATAAAACAATCCCACTAGCACCTTTGAGTTTACTTAGCCCATTCACCATAATCACTCACCCTTAGGCCATCCAAATGACCAAAATACCCTTTTTTCTTTCTTAATCAAAACTTTAGCCCTTTTCAACTTAATATTTAGGCTAATTTGAGCCTATATCTCTAAAACTCAACCATTGAACCTCAGACCAGTCACAAAACCTTAGTTTTGCACCCAAGAGCCCTTTCCCAACCTTTTCCTCAAACTTTAACCCCTAAAACACCTTGATTCAATTTCTCTATAACCTAAATTAAAAGAAATTAGGGTAGAAATGAAGTACAGGATAGTATGAAACTTACCCAGCAAGTCACTTGTCAGATCCAACTCCCAAACTTCTAAAAACAGATGCCTTAGTAAAGAAAATCTTCCTTCTCTCCTTGTTTCACATTTTCCCCCTTCTTTCCTCTTTATTTCACACAATGATCCACATCTCATTTATCTAGATTCTATGCCATGCGTCGTGGTGCATGCACTATATGCCACAGCGTGTGGCACAGTGAGATACTTCTCATTGCTGCTTGCTCCTTTTGTTCCAAATCAACTTTCCACCACTCGATCCTATCCATTCACCAACCAATCAACACAAAACATCAATCCATCATTCAAAACCAAAAATAATCCATTAATTAACAATTAGCTCCTTAGATTAAAAGTACAAGATGTTACACTTGTGGTCTTCATTTTTCCACAAAAGATCTCAAAGTGCTTCATCTTGTGTCAAGATCATTTGCCTTAGTACTCTTTAGCTTCAAAGTGATTTCAACTTTATATTATTTTAATTGCAACCTAATCAAAAACAATAGACATCCTTATAGTACAAGGAAAAGGTTTTAATATAGTTTTATTGTCTCCAATTTGTCATAACTCTTCAATAATTTCTTTGTTATGTTAAATAAATTATAGTACTCTTTGGATTAATTACTGATTTTAGCTTTGTGTTGTACTAATTGAAATCAACCAAAAGAATCAAATGGGCTTGGATATTTACTTTTGAGTGAATTCTCTTGTAGAGCTACCTACTCCGACATTTTCAATTTTAGCATTATATATTTACTTTAGTATTTTCCTTGGTCCTAGTATGAAAATTCAGGTCAATTTGCCTTGCTGAACCATAAACCATTAAAACAATTAATGTTTTGAATGATTTAATAAAGTGTTTTGTTGACTAGCTTATTCACACTTTATTAATATAAAAAGAAGCTTACATGGTTACTTCTTCCTTGCCTACGAGAATGCTTCCACATGTAGTGGAGCCATTTGAAAGCGCTTTTGTAAGGGGAGCTGTGGGAGCACTTCTTTTAGAAGCACTCTCATAGGTGACTCTACAAGAGCGCTTTTCAACAAAAGCGCTATCGTAACCTCAAAAGGCTCATTTAATTTGCTTTATAATATTATATGCTTCATAAATTTAAAAGCAATATTCTAACTTTGAACACCATACAAGATGAACAATATACTCTCATTTAAACTTAAAAAAAGCAATGTTTTTGTAGGTTTGGTAGCCTCGATCTCAATACACTACTCTAACATTAAAACTAGTGCAAAGATTTTTAATATAATCTAATCTTCTAAACATTAAATTATAAAAAAATGTTTATTTAAAAATTATTTTTAATCTAGTCTAATCATTTTTTATGGAACCAAACAGGATGAACATTATCGACGAGAACGATCGAAATAATTGGAAAAAAGGGAAAAGAAACAATGTACCTCGAGCGTTTATACGTGTGCCTATTCTGGGTCCACGGTTGGAGATGAAGGCATGATAGCAAGCGACCAATAGTGGAGAACAAGCGGCGACCAACAACGGAGGGTGAAGTGAGAACGGCAACATGAAGGAGAACTAAGTGTGGGTTTGCTCGGCGATGCAAAGACAAGCAGGAGAGTAAACACTTCGATAGATCTATCAAAAACTTATACCAATTCTAAGCCTACACATATAGGAGTGTGTCTTCACAAAGGCTTCTGTACAGTAGGGGCATAAGAGTGCCGTTTTAGAAGCTCTCGAATAGCCTCTAGTTATTAAATAAATTAAAATATCGGAGCATTTCTTTGTAAAAGCGCCTTGAGATGTTAATCAGATTAATTTTATTTAATAACCTATAGGACTGAAGTAGGTGTTGTTTTTCTTTTTTTAATAAAAGGGATCTATTAGAGCCCTTTTTATAAAAAGCATTGAGGTAAGGCTACTGAATCAATTTTCGCTCCCATAAGTTTTGCACATATTTTTAGGAGTATTTTCTTTTTATAAGTGTTCATACTGCTCCTATATTTTTATTTATTTTTAGTAATAGTGGTTTGATCATCAACCTTGAATAAGGCCTTGACAAATTTAATGATTGGTTTTAGTACCTTGACCTTGGCCATATATCTTTCTATTATATCTCAGTTATTTGGTTTTGGATGGTGGTGTTAGGAAATCATGTAAAAGCAGGATTATATTTGCTTTTATTTTTGTAAAGAAGCAAGTATTAATGGCTCGAAGTTACAGGTTGAATAAAACTTACAGCCTTCTACTTACAGAGAAGCTTGCATGCCACTAGACTACAAGATTATTGGCTTGTAAAGTGTTTTACTAAAATAGAGGAGATGGGCAATAGTAACGCACTTATAAATGCTTTCTCTATAATCTTAACATTCATAGTGATATGAAGAGAAGTTATAATATGAAGGTTTGCGTATTGAGATGAAGCACCCTTGCTTGGAATAGTTTTGCACAACAACTGGATTGAATCAACTGATGATTCTATGATAATTGATTGATGACCTACATAACCATCCCGCTATGAAATAAGAAGAGTCGTTTGATAATAGGTAAATCATTAATTACATTATTCATCTAGTAAAAATAATTTACATTTTTTTATTTTACCCATTCATAATTTTTCGAATAAAGTAAAAGGTTACATATTAGAAAAAAATATTTTTCAAGATAGTAAATTTAATAAAAATATATTAAAAATTTTTCTGTTCAAATAATGTTAATAATATAATTATTTTTTTATTTTGATGAAATATTTAAAATTAACTTGTAAATATGTATAGGATGAAAAGAGTATCAAATATTGTTGTGGGATTCTCAAAACTTCCAACTTTAATCTGTCGCGTTGCAATAATTATTTTTTTAACTATTCATCCATCATGTCATGGTGGATCATTTTCTTTTCTTTCCTTCTTTTGGATGCTGTGGCGCAATAATTGAGACCAGATCTGAACGAAGGTTGGTTTAATTAATAATGATTAGTTTGGCATGCAATTCATAAAGTCGTGATTCCAATCTCGTGCTATGGACACAAAGTTTTTATTAATAAATAATTTATAAATATATCTATAACCTTAAAATATCTTCTGATTTTGATAAATTTTTAAATCTTAACCCATCTAAAATTTTTAATTATAAGATAAGAGGGCAAAAAAATTTATAAATTGGTCAATCAAGAACATCCGGTATTTTAAATTGAGAAAAAAAATATAAATATCTATAACGTTATATGAATGGGTATAAAAGTGATCAAACTATTAACATTAACCTAACATCGTTAACTTTAACCGTTAAATACTGACTATACATGTCATATATCAATCTTTACTGATGTGGAGTAATAAAGGGACAAAAATACCCATAAAGTGTTGATCAAGAAGAAAAATACATATAATATTACTAGAATTGATGCAAAAGTGACCAATTCTTCAAATATCTTAAATATTGACCGTTTAGTTGACACATAAGCAGAAGTTGACTATTTTTCACTATTGTAGACAAAAATTATTCCTAAATAAATTATTACGAAGATTGATCAATCATCACATGAGTATCCATAATGCTATTTTAGTAGGTGCAATAGTGATCAATCCGTCAAAATTCATGCCACATGATTTCTCTCCATCACCACATATCTTGCCTCATTCCTCCCTCCCTCTCCACTCATTTTTCTTGTCTATAAAACCTAAAATTTAATATAGTGAGATAAGTTGTACACAATCAAAAATCGAGACTAAGCGCCTCCTATACTATCCTACCTTAAGAACATTGTCACACCTTAAATAGTTTCATTCATGATAGGTTTAAAAATTTTAAATGGTTTTCACTACTGCTACAAAGAAACAAGCGATTTAATTTGATTTCAGGTCAAACCGGCATTTTCTCACATGATATTTATATAATGACCAGTTAACTTTCAGAGAATTTTATCTGAGAATATTTTTTGTCCATGTGAGCAAAAAAAAAATCAATTTTTACTTAAGTGTCAGAAAAATAGTCAACATTTAAAGGATTTGATAGATTGATTGTTTTTATACCAACTCTAATAACGTTATAGGTATTTTTGCTTCTGGTCAATAACTTCGGTTATTTTTCATGCCTTTATTAGTTCACATCAACAAAAACTGACACGTGACATGCACAATCAGCATTTAACTGTTAAAATTAATAATATTAAATTAAAATTAATGATTTAATTACTTTAATACCCAGTCATATAATACTATAAGTATTTATATTATTTTTTTTATTTTAATATATTAAATGTTCTTAATTAGTCACTTTATATATATTTTTATCTTTTTGTCTTTAATTATAAAAAAATTAGGAGTAGTGAAAATTAAAGTAGCTTTTGAATTTTGATGGTGCCTAAGGCCTGACAAGGAAACAGGATGTGTGGCCCATCTGTCGATAAAGTCTCTGTCCCTTGCCCCTCCTATATGGTAATATGGTAAATGCAGCTAAGCCATACCCTTCCTTCATCTTCATAAAATCTGCCACTTTCGTTTGCAGCTTCTTCAAATTCCTTCTGCTAAAAAACTACTTCTTCACTCTCTTGTTCTCCCTATTCAAATCAAGCTTCGTTAGCTATTTTTTCCATATTTAAACTAATTGGTTTCCAAAAAAAAAAAACAAGAAGAAAAAAGAAGTTGGTGTTTTCGTTTAAAGATCTCCTTAGCTACTTTATTTTGCTATATATGTGTGTGTAAAAATATTTCATTTTTCAAAAAAAAAAAAAAGACAAATCGTGTCTATATGCCTTCGAACTTGATCGGAGAGAGACGTTAAGATCGGCGTTGATCATTCAGAGTGACATATACAGGTAAGAATTCAGGGGTAATTTTAAACCTAAAGCTGTATATTTTTATTTTCCGAGTTAGCCCACTAGCCTTTTGTATCAAGTTTAATTACATTCTCTCGACTTTTTTAATTGTGATCAACAGAACTAGAATTGTTGGTGCTTCTCGCAGGGCTCAAAAAATAAGCAAGCAGAACAACATATTGGTAGAAAAGAGGTGAGGTGTGTAACATTTCAAAATTTAATTTAATATTAATTAAGCCAATTAAGGATTTGAATGAGTAATTTTTGAGGAATATTTAAAAATAAATAATTTTAATTAAAAAATTATTATTAGATTTAATTTAGCATAAATTCAAATCCTAAGTTATTATTTTTTAAAATAATAATAATAATAATATTATTATTATAAAAAAAGAAGAAAGAAAAAAGAAGGAAAAAGAACATTAAAAAAAATTAAAAAAAAGGAAAAGTAATTTTTACTTTTATGTGTGTGTTACTATATAAATAGTGTAAAAAAAAAAAAAAAGAATGGATTTGCAAAATATGTGTGTACGTGCGCAAATTAAAGCAAACAAGAGAGAGGTGTGTGAATTTTTGACGTGGGACCCACATTTTGTTTTAAAACCAACTCACTTCTCTTGCCTTTTTCATTTCTCTTCCGTTTTCATTCAGTGCACCCGAACGCCGAACAAAGAGCACAAGCGTGCGTGATTCACCGGCAATGGAAGCTGATTTAAGAGGTGGAGCTTTATAATATGATCCTTCAGATAAGATTTTAAGTATTTTAAAATTAGATAAGTGTTTTAAGCATTTTTATTTATTATATTTTTTCTTAAGTTACAGATTTTGAGATTTTAAAAAATTTAAGGTTTGAAAGAAGGATTAATTTTTGATGAGTAAATTTGGTTATTAAAATTGTTGATAGTGTAATAAATATTCTAAAGTATTATTTTATTGATAGAATTGGAATTTGAGACATTTGAGTTTATCCCTAGATCTATATGCATATATTTTTGGTTAAATTTAAAAATATAAATTAATTTGTTGATATTTAAATGATTATTTGGGATGAGAAATAAATTATAATGGCTATAGAATAATGATTCTAGGCTTGAGATCAAGTTCTCAAGTTTTAGGTATTTTTATGTGCAAATTTCTGAAATAAAAAGGAAAATTTTAATATTAAAAAATTATTTGAATGATGTTTTTAGCCAAACTTTAATGAAATTATTATAAAGGAGGCTATTGAACTAAGTAGATAGGTTCAAGTACATGAAATTAAATTTTAAAACTCAAGAGGCTAAAACTAAGGTCTTAAAAAAATAAAATAAAATAAAATAAATACTTAGGTGTTGGAATATGAGTAAAAATTGTGTTAATAATATTATTGACACATTGGAATATGATTAATTTTAGATTAATTGCCTTTTGGCACCATTCAAGCTTTGAAAAGTTTTGAAAATGTTACAACTTGAGAGGTAACATTTGACCTCTCAAAGGTTGAGGTAACCGGAGAAAATTTATTTTATACATTTTTGTTTTAATTAATTATTTATGTTTGTAAAACAAATGAGTGTGTGTGTGTGTGTGTGTGTGTGTCCAAATCTTGAATTGTTATTTTTAATACATATTATGGCTTTGTTGAGATCCTATAATTTGTGACATTGTTACTTGTAACATGATTTGAGTTATGAGATTGAAGATTGATGTTGATGTGCATAATCTTTATTATAAATTGTGTATTATGCATAGTGATGAATTGTATATGTGCATGTTGATTTTTATATGATGCTAATATGATTTATGTGATAATATAACAATTGATACAAGAGGC